TTTTACAGTCTTTATTTTACAGTAAAAATATGTTTATCAAATAAAGTCTAATGTTACAACTAATCGGGGATTCCTTTAATATATTAATGTTATTAATAAACAAAATTACATTTGAGACAATACAATAAAACAATAAAACCAAGGGTCCATACAAACTTGTTTATTTCGCCATACAAGGTTGTTTGATTTTTGAAAAAATAATATTAAAGAACATGTCCATGCAAATGACAAAATGTGTAACAACACAACTGTTATAAAACTTGAATTTTTATACCAGATTTTTATTTCAACTTATACTCCTTTCTCTCACTTTGTCTGCCATTACAAGCAGAAAAAAATTATATATATATATATAAATCCAGTCAGCCCGCAATGAATCTTAGGATAGGGTGGGTTGAGAAGGATTCACCGAAACTGTCCCTCAAATTGAGGAACAAAATGGAAAAAGTGTGCCGCAATTGGAGGAGTCTGTGAATTTGGACAGATTTGGCATGGCACAGTGATGTAATCGGCTGACAAATTCAACCTTTGAAGGATGTAGCCCCTGAATTTGGACACAGCCTGTGTCTCTCAGTTGGCCTGAGAACGTTTGGAAGCCTATTGGAAAAGCTGGAACAAGTGGCTGTGGAAAGAAYTATCCGTGCTTTCCTGGTCAAGCTGCCGCCTTTGCAACCTGACTTTGGAACAAGCARCAGATAATGCATGGATGGATGAATAGATGGCAGTGCTGGCACAATTAACAAGAAACCACTCTATATGTTTTTGGTGTTTTTTTAACGAAAGCTAATATAGACACACAGACAACAAAGAGACTTTAGGAGATGGTATTGTTGCCAAACTGCTATCCTACTGGAGATTAATGGGCAACTTTATTCCAAGTACGAGTCCTCTCTGAGCTGCCTCACCTCTCTGYATGTTTGATTTATGGACACCCAGCAGCGCATGAGCTATAATTTGAAAGGGGTTTGTTTTTCCTCATGAAGATGGAATTTTAAATGTTGTGATGAATGAACCCTTACCATTTTTATTTATTAGTCTGCCTTTAGTATGTAGCATGTGCACGGGTTAGTGTACAGCRTGTGTCTGTGTGCATTTAATCTCTCTGGGCTCAGGCTTCTGTCTGTTCATGCACACATATCATTTTGCAAATATAGCTCTAATGTTAAATATGGACTTGCAAAAGTGCTGACACCAGCCATTTCAGTCTGACGTTAAAAATATATCACCCTTCCGTCTCCATGCTTTGCTAAATCCAATACCACATCTCACCCATTGAAATCTATTGTGAAAAATCAAAGAATGCGTCATGCTCTCCCTTACATTTTATTACACCGTCTCTGCATATAGATTTACATTAACCTCTAACCACAGCATGTGTGGCGGGGTGTTTGATCTGATGGTCATATATTGAATGAAGCATGTAGAAATGTGATACTCCTCGGTGAATTCACAGGACCACGGTTGGGGCTTAGGGAAGAAACAAAGGGCAAAGCAGACAAACAATGCTTGTTCAATGGTGTGTGACATTCGAAAGCTATAGAGCTCCAGATGCATCACTGTTACAAAGGCAATTATTTCTGCCTGGCTACACTGTACTGGGAATAGAAACTATTTCAGGTAGTCTGATGAAACTTCTTTATACCTTAAAGCCTTTATTAAAATGTTTACTATGCAGACATATTATTGACAAATCTAGATTTTACTTCTACATTTATTCAAAATTTTATTTTATTACGTTGCATTTCTTAAATCCATGAACAGCTTGCACACCCTATACATAAGTGGATTGTGTGTATTATACAGTATTTTAATATGGAAAGTGCAAGAGTTAATTTTATTCACGGAAATAAACTCCTCAACGTTTAGTAATATAACATTATATGGGTCATTGCTGTGTGTATTTGTGCTCTGCCTATTCTCATGCTCAGTAATTTATATTTCAAATAAATTATTATGAACTATTAAAACTATTTTCATCTATGCTAGTAAAGTTAGGTACTAAATCAGACAACATAAACATTTCTAAAATGTGTCATTCAGAGATTTTCTTTTCTTTTCCTCACAAAAAGTCTTTTTCTCTTATTTTTTTTTTCTTAGGGAGGTCTTATTGCTCTCCTCCTCCTGATTCTACTCTTCACCCTTGTCCTGTATACCCGCCACCGTTGGTGCAAGCGTCGCCGGATTCCTCAGAAGAGCGCCAGCACCGAGGCCACCCATGAGATTCACTATATCCCTTCAGTCCTGCTTGGTCCACAAGGCCGTGACAGCTACCGTGGCTCCCGAGGCACTCACCAACATGGCAGCTCTGTTATTGGAATGCCCATTCGCGAGACCCCCATTCTTGATGACTACGACTGTGATGAAGACGACGGAGGCGGGCACTCACTCAACTCCACACCCAATCAGCTCCATAATAGAATCAACGATGGGAAGGTCCTTGATGACTATGGCGTTAATGTTGGCATTGGAGGACACACAGAYATAATGTTCAAGGAAGATGATATTAAGCATAATTTCGAAAAGCAAGGTAAGTTTGACGTTTGAAAACGTTTCATGCAAATGCAAAGCATAGGCATAAAAAATGAAAATTGGAAGAACAAAATTATTTTGCGTGTGACCTAAATGTTAAATTTCAGGAAAGTCTTCAACRATGATATTTGTGCTGCTTTTGTGAGAATTCACCGCAAATGTTAAATCTTCTGATGGTTCAAGCTGGACCAAAATGTAACATGTTCTAATTTTAAGCCATATTTAAGTGAGGTTTGTTTTGTTTTTTAATACAAACTACTTTTTCCTTGGGAAACTGTGAGACTATAGCCACAAGATCACGTTTTTTTTTTGTCTACACACTGGAGCCTCTCAGTAAACATAAACCATGACTTTGCAAGTCAGGTAATTTAGTTGAAYGGAATATGTGAAGGTCAAGTGACAGGAGCTAAGTGATGGGGTGGCAGTCACATAGAACCTGAGTTGTATGAGTGGTGGCATGTTCACACGTCAAAGATACAAAAAAATGCAATATCTGGGAAAAATATCAAAATCTATACGTTTTTTTCTCCAAAAACATTAAAACAACGTAGACACATTTGTTGACATCATATTCTGTTGAACTCGTGGTGTTCYGCTGTCAAGATGGGCTTAAATAATTGAAGGGTGCTGACTGAGTCAGCGGATGCCCTCGTTATTCATCCCACATTGAATAATGCATAAAGCTTGTTGAAATGCCCCCTTGATCCAGTAGTAGTTATCACTTTACACAGCTACTGTATATTTATTCAAAATGTTTAAACCTGACTGTGTACATACCAAAAACTTTGCTGAAAGGCAGAGTATGAAATCAGACCAACACCAAACAAGTAGGATTCAAAAGGCTATAAAAAGGATATTTTTTTCTGCTACAAATTTTGTTTTGAGACAAAACAAAATAATAAAMAGGAATCTGTTGACTAACTGCTGTTTGATTTATGTTAGAATCTTGMAGCCAAGAAGTCATCGAAATTCACAGTAATTAGTTTCACCAACTTTTAACTGCAAGCTCGACTAATTTTACCATTTTTTTCCCCCAYGTTTTTGGAGCTTCTCTGAAATGCTGAAGCTACATAACAAATAATTAGGTTATAGCCTAGAAAGAGTCAAGCCTACCTGGGTGTAAACAAAAATAGTCCAGGTCAATTACCATTTGATCCTAACAAACTCTGTCTCCACATCAGGGATGATTAAAATTTCAGAATGAGTAATGAAGTTAATGTGAACAGCAGCTCGCTCAATTAGGGATGCTTAGACAGTCCTGCTGCTGTGTGATAGCACAGAAAATGAAGTGGAAACAAATGTTGTAGGCAACAAACGGAATGTTAGAGGGCTTGTAATGTAAAGTCATCCAGTTGCAGAAAGAGACATTACTGATGAGCCTCATTAATAAAATGTGTCTGGGCTTATTTTGTCTTAACAATGTAAAAACCAATTCTAAAAGAAATTCCATCATGAAGTATTTTTCCCCAAAACAACACATAAATGATATTGAAAATATATTTGGTGTTTATGCTTTCCCATCTTTATTCTGCACAGAGTGGATGCCTTTGAATACAGTGACGATAAACTCCTGCAACCTTTGCTAAAATGCTTAGCACTCCAAAATATTCCAAACAGTAGATATCCAATTACTTATCCTTACTGAAAGGAACTCCATTTTACTGCAATCTAACATTTCATTCAATGATTTTCAGACTATCGCTCTTGGGATAAAAGTTTTTTTTTTTTTTAACGCTGGGCATTTTAACCCGCGAGAACTGTCAGTTACATTTTTCTACAAGATTCCCAAAGCTCTGGGAATGCCACAGGCAGCACGGACAGTGTAAATCATCTATATATAAAAAATTTAATTCTTGGTCTGTGATGCACACTCATAGAACAGTTATCTATCACACCACGCAGCTGTAACCCATCAGGCATGCCTAACCTTGTCAGAATACGGTGCAAAACAGAACGGTGTATCGAAAGGGCAAATGTTTTTAGAAGGTCAAATCACGCTCACCGTGGGATGAAGTCATACAGAACAAACTCAGCTCTAAAATGCAGGCATAGATGCATAGCGCTCTTACATTTATGCTTGTTGAGTTTAGATGATTAGATGGTATTTTGGTGCACACCTACATGTCCATCTCTAATAATTTTGTTCTCCAATTGGTTATTTAAAGTTAATTATTAAATACCCTTATATGTTTCTGTTCTATCTGCTTTTCATTTTGATATAATCATTATGTGAATTGTGTAGAAAACATTTTTACAAATTGAAACCCTTTTTTTTTGCTTGCCATATTTTTACATTTCCAGGTACCTTTATCTGGTGTTAATAAAAGGCATATCGTAGCTTTCAGCACTAGTATGTTGTCAGCCAGAGCGCACTCATATTTTAGTTGAGCTACAAAAAATTCCTGAACATTCMAAATTGGTTTTCATATTTTTTGATGTGATGTGCTTCATTATCGCATAGTGCATTTGTTTGACTCACAAATGAGTTTTACCATCAGAAGCAGCAGGTCACGCTGTACATTACTCAGCTTCTTTTTCATGTCCTCACTCCATAATGAGAGATAGAAGGGTATTTGACAGAAGGTGACGGACAGCTAATGCTGCTGATGAATTGTTCTAGATGGTCAAGAACCTCGCCCTCTGAAAAGAAATGGCCCCCCTGCTGCAGACTATATATGCCTGTCAAGAAAACAGAGGGCAATGAGACTGTGTTGTGCTTCTTACTGCAGTCCTAAGAGCACATTTAATGTCTTTTTGTGGGCACATTTTTTTTTGCAGCCTTGCCGAACTATGAGTCTTGTTTATTGATTACTTTTAGCAATTGTTTTACACTTTTTATTTATTGTTTCCTTTTTCATCCCATTTTTTAGACAAAAACTGAACACCATAGTGGCTTATATCTGTTAGGTCTGACAAGTATTAGCTTGTATTTTTTGTAAACATATTGTGTTCTAGCACAGCATTAAACAAGACCACAGTGTGGTGAACTAAACCACATTCTGTCACTGATTGTGTTTAAAATAAGCTTAAAAACAACCATGCAATTAGGTATGGTCTAAATATTGCAACTGAATTATGCATAATGAAGACAAATAGTTTGGCTTTAAACATGTCAGTGACAAGTAACCTAATGCTAATTCCAGTGCAAATATGTGTAAGTTTACACAAATGTAAGTTATCAACATTTAATTATTATATTAACAAGAATCCGAATGAATTCACTATTAAGTTTTGCTCACAATGTATTTGCTGTTACAGGGCAACCCATTCATCACTGGCTAGGGCACATACTGTACAATTTGGGTGCAAATGACCTCAGCAATGAGTCATCACTTCATTAGTGGCCTGTCAGGCCTTTAGTGCCTGTCACACTCTGTCTCCCCCTCCCATTTCCCTTGTTTGTCTTCACTGTTACTATCTCCATTAGGGAACCAAACAGAAGCCTGGATTCATCAACAGATTGTGTGTCTTTTCCAGAGCAAATTAGAATATAGTGGATCCGTATAACTCAAAACACCCTCGCATATCGATATTTGCGCTACTAATTGTGCTGCCATTCAAACAGCATCTGGTGCAGTGTGCCCACATTTAAACAAGGTTTTACTTATGCAGTTTTTAAAAAAGTCTAAATTTCCATTAATACCTTTCAAGGCAAAAAGGGTCTGATTTTTATTTATTTATTTATTTATTTATTTATTTATTTATTGTGACCTTCCTGTTGCGTCAACGTTTACAGTCTCCTGATACTCGATGGTATTTGCTTCTGAAGAGAAAAGAAGTAGTCTACTGCATTGTTGCCTTAAAAAATGGGCATCTATGTGAAATAAATCCACGTTCATCCCTTTTTTGTGACAGACACTGTAACATCTACAAAAAAAATGTCAAAAAGGTGTGTGAAGACCGTTTGCAATTAGGATTTGCATCAAGAACTGAATTTTGTGGTGTTATTCTCCAAAAAAGAGCGCTTATACTTACTAAACGCTTGCACCAACATTTATTAGCAGTATTTGCTTTGTAAAATGGAGCAAATAATAAGGGAATATTAGAGCAAGAATAAAGTCGTGCAATCTTAGTAAGTTCATTTGAGTTTGTTGGGAAGTGTGCTACCTGATTATTGCAGCTAATAGTCATTTTAGCAGTCAAATACAGTCTAATGGCTGCATTTTTAAAATGCACATATTATGACTGTTGTGTGAAACATCACAATCAAGCTATTTTTATTTCAGGTTTTACAGGATTTCTGGTCGGTGTAGACATGTAAACAAATACACTACAGCTTCCATGTCATGTTTTCTATTTAAACAAAACTATATATATATATATATATATGTGTGTGTGTGTGTGTGTGTGTAGTTAATAGTCCCAGGTGGACCCCACGTTTTGTGCAGTTAAACTTGAAGTAAAGTGTTTTGGCAGTCAGTGAATACTGCCAACATCATCTGCTTGCATCACACATTCATGTGCACACAAACATGTACAGTATACACACACACACACAACTGCTTCAGAATTTAACATATGCTCCCAGCAACCTTTCCTCCTCACTTCTGCTTTTTATAATCATTCTTAACACAATATTTTGGAATTATTTAAGTAGTTCCACAATCAATAACACACTTCCTACTGCAACCACATGCAAACAAAATGTTATTATTTTTTGTTTGATGCTATTTTGATGTCCCATAATTTTATAAGAATTCAATCTAGTTGCAAAATTCTCAGTGTTTATGAATTTCTGGCTGAGGTTGTTTTTTTTTTTTTTTTGTGTGTGTGTGTGTGTGTGTGTGTGTTACTTTTTTTTTAGCAATAATAAATCAGAAACAACAATAAATTTAAAACAGAAATAACAAATGGACTTTTCACTCCTATATTCTGAATGACATTTGTCAGCAGCACAACAAAGTCAGGGATACTAGATAAAAGCCATTTTACACATTTCTGAGTCAATTTTTGAATGCAGTTTAGCCTACACACAGGTAATGTACACTCACAGGCCAC